GAACGACCCCCAGTCGGGTTTATCATTAGGGGACCTTTCAACGGACCCAGTCGCTCCTTGATAGGTACTCTACCTCGATTCCCTGGTAAGGGACCGAGGCGACCTTTCACAGGAATCCTGGATGTTGAAGGATCCGTGTTAATACCTGACCCCACCGGAGGTGCCGGGGTAAGGGGAATGGGACTTGGATTCGGTGAAGATTGAGTAGCAACATCTTCAACTCTCGGCTTAGGCGTTGGTTTCGCCTTTAGCCTCCATACTTGCTTGAGTTTTGGCGGAGCCTTGACCGCCTCTTCTTTCTGCATCTCCTCTGCTTTCTGCAAGAGAGCTCGGGCATGTGCGAGCAGTGCGCGGCGCTTCTTGATTCGCTCTTCGAGGGTCGAGCGAGTCCTCGTGACACGAATCCAATCATTTGCTTCTGCCTTGGAGGAGGAGTTAGTCACGTACCGGCGCTTCTTGATTCGCTCTTCGAGGGTCGAGCGAGTCCTCGTGACACGAACCCAATCATTTGCTTCTGCCTTGGAGGAGGAGTTAGTCACGTACCGTTGTTGCTCTTGGCGTTGTCTCGATTTGAGATCTTCGTTGTAGCGAACCCCGTCCATAGGCTCCAAAGCCTTGGCCATTTGACGAGCAAGGCGTTGACGCCGCCTTTGGAGCGTCCTCTTTGATACAGCCGGAGCGCCTTCAGTAGCCACCTTCTTGGGGGAGGAGAAGCCCAGATCTGCGATCTCGACCACGTTGGGCGACGCGGAGACGCCACGTGGTGCGAGTGCAGCGATGGCTAAGGGATCTTGGGTCTTTGAGCCGAGGGTCCCGCGAACGACTCTGGAGGAGGAGGATTTCCTACGCCTGCTTGGAGAGGCGGATCTGGAGGAGGAGGAAGAGAGGTACTCTTCGAACTTTTGCTGATCGAACTCGTATTCGATCTCTTTATTCACCCGGATCTTGAATGCCGGTTGCTTCACTCCGATCTCGGCAGCGAGGTCGGCGGCTCCCACTGTGGTCGCCAGCTTGTTTTCGGTGAAAGTCGCTGTTTTCATTGCTTTTAAACGTTACAACAAGAATGCAACAAAACAAAGATTACAACTTTATCGAAAATAAACACGAGATCCCGTTTTGGTGCGGTCTCGCTTGCGTGGGTCTTTGGCCTGTGACGGGGATGTTGATATCCGTGGACCACCGGGCAATCAGATCTGGTCCGGATAAATCGGACAGAGTTTCGTCGATCCGCGTGAGATCTAGAAACTTCTAATCCAGAAATATCGGACAGAACTTCGTCGATCCGCGTGAGATCTAGAAGTTCTAAGCGTATACCTCGGCTAAAGCGAGGTAATAGCTCTTCTTAGTATTAACGCTAAAGGCTAATACTAAGGAAGGATGAGAACGGGTGATGAAGGCTGATTTAGACCTCTCCTCCTCGGTTGAAGTGCTCGATCAGTGTTTGCTGCAGCAGGGCTTCGCCGAGGCTCTCCAAAAATCCAGATCATTCCAAATGAGGTAAGGGGGTCCTATTTATAGGAAAACAAGAGGGGGGGCGTCCGCACAGATCTAGGACACCCCAGGGGTGTCCGCACAGATCTGGGACACCCTTGGGGTGTCTCCAAAAATCCGAGACACCCCTAGGGTGTCTCGGAAATTCCGAGACACCCCTGGGGTGTCTCGGAATTTCTGAGACACCCCTGGGGGTGTTTCGGGATTCCGAGACGTCCGTAGGTGCGTTTTGGTTGTTTCCCCGTAGATTCTTCGTACGAACTCGGATTTGAGTGATTCCGGGTGCGTTGGATGCGTGACGAAGAGTTCGATCCGCTCTGATGGTTGGATTGTCTTTAGAGTGGTCGAGGCACGGAGGGTGTTGTCCTTTTTGTGAACAGTGCCGGGCTTCCCGATTGGTCCGGGTCTTCGTGATTCCGAAGTCCTATCTGCTCACGTAACTCGTCGATTCACTTCAATCGTTCATCGACGTCAATTAGGCTCATGTGGGTCGGATGGTGATGTTCATTGTCGTTCGTTAACACTGAACCGGTTGTGGAGAACTATAGGCAATTTTCAATGCCTACAGATACCCCCTCCAAAGTGTTCCTGACTCGTTTCTTTTATAGAAGAGGCTGGAATACTTTGGATGTGATTGGTCCGGCCTTCAGTCGGCCTCAGGACCTGTGGTTAGCTTCAACTCTTGGCTCCTCACTTCAGTCGTTCGTCGACGTCAATTGGACTCCTGTGGCTCGGATAGTGACGTTCATCATCGCTCTTTAACACTGAACCGTTCGTGGAGACCTATAGGCAATTTTCAATGCCTACAATCGCTTCTGATGATAAACTCACTTAGCAATTCTCCCCAGCGAGACGCTAGTC